ATTTCAAATCTTGCTATTATATATTTACCGTACTAGTTTTGGTGTAATGACTTCGTGCCTCCTGGCCTAATTTAAACTTTCGTACACAGATGCAAACTAGTGCAGAAGTGAAGCAAGCCATTTGTGTGGGAACCAGTGTAGTTGAAGTACGGAAATTTGCTGGTTTAGGGTATCTTAATTATGACCATAAACGTATCATCACTAAATTATGCCCCTGTTTGGGGTCCATTAAAATTACATGCAATCCACACAACCCAACAAACCCTAATTCATTTTACACTAGGCATCATTTCACACTATCTCCTCCTGTTGCTATTTCGTTTCACACCTGGAATCTTCCTCCTAAGCACCTCTGTTGGTGACGGGCGCAACAGTGGCGTGCGAACAGTGTCAAACACAGCATCGCCGCTAGTGCCACTATGAAGCAGCAGCGATGCAAACCTATCATTGCAGCTTCGTGCATAGCTGCGATCTATTTTCTTTGTCCCTCGTCGCTACGGACAATGTCACTGTTGCTTCATGCACAACGACAATCTATTTTCTTTGTCCCCATATTCTCTATTTTCTCTTAATCTGTTTGGTGTAATGTGGTATAGGTGAAGAAAATGATGGATTTGAGGAGGAGGTGGTGGTGGTGGCGACTGCAGGTTTGAGGATTATTTTGGTGGGGATAGTGGTTGTTGGTGTGTTAGATAAGGTGAGGTGGTTGTGTGTAGTGCTGGAGAGATGGTAGTGCTAACGATGATGGTACTAGTGTTTGTACGGCGACATCGACGACAATTGTTCAAGCAGTGGTAACAAATGCTGGCGGTGATGGTATGATTGTGATTAATAAAACTGGTTAATTTGAAAGCACTGTGACCTAAAAAAATATGAGAGTGTGAGTTAATTTGTAATTGTGATTAATTAATTTGGTAATTTGTGACCGTAATTGTAACATATAAAATTTGTGATTTATAACTGTGACATTCTGTAATTGTGATTAGTACTTAATTGTGGCAATAAATTATAATGTTGTGACTTTAATATATTTCATTAATAAAAATATTTAATTAATAATTTTTAATTATAACTTGATTTTTGAAATTTAAAAACATATTTCTTAATTTTAAAATGGTATATTTTAAACATCTTATATTTGTATTGTTCCCGTTTGTTGGGTTGTATGGATTGGAGGTGGCAGGTTAATTAAATTAATAATATTATTATTAATACTAAAAAATAATTTACGAACTGATTTTTGTATAATTAATTCTTTAACTTGATTTTTGAAATTGGAAGTTGAAAAACATGGATGAATGTATATTTCTACGGGAACATTAGATATATAAGGTGATTGTAAAATAGAATTTCAAAATTAAGAAATTGGATTTATTATTTTAAAAATCAGGTCTTAATTAAATATATTTAGGTCGCAATATTATACAATTTATGATTACAGTTACATACTGTCACAATTACAGACACCACAATTACAAATCACAAATTTTATATGTCACAATTTATTTCTCAATCATAAATTATCAAATTAATAGATCACGTATTATTTTTTCGGTTACTAATTTTATAGGTCACAATTTCTTTCCTATCATAATTTATTAAATTAGTAGGTCATGTATTATTCTTCAATCGCAAATCATAAATTTTATATATCACAATTTATTTATCATTTAGAAATTATCAAATTGATATATCACTTATTACTTTTCGATCACAAATCACAAATTTTATAAGTCACAACTTATTTCACGGCCACAAATTATCAAATTAGTTAGCCGCAGTTATTTCTCGATCACCAATTATTAAATGAATTGGTCAAGATTCCAAATTTAGTTGTAATCTAACATTTTTTTAGGTCACATTATTTATTGGTCACAATCAATCCAATAATTGATCACAAATACTCTTCTTTCCACCCCCACTTTTCCCCTCCCCCAACACTGCCACTGCCACTGCCACCACCACCGACACCAGTACCGCCAACATCACCACCACCACACTAGCATCGCCACCACCTCGACCACCACCACCAACTACAAACACCACCCCAAAATCACGACACAACACCACAAAACACCACTTGCAAACATCACAAACTGCAAAACATCACCTGCAAACACCACCAACTACAGCCGACCTAGTGGACTCGAGTTGTTTTCAAAAACATAATTAATGGCAGCATCGCTATTGTAGTGGTGACATGCGCAAACATCACCTTCACATTTGCTCAAAGGCATCGAGCGACGTCTCTGCAGTTTGCAGAGGCTCACTGCTCTCAAAGCGACACCCTACGACGTTGGTGCCTTCAATGTATGGTATAAGGTAAAGAAAGAGAATGGAGAAATAGAGAGAGAATGGAAAGGAGAAAATGATTAAGGTTTGTAAGTGAAATTTGATGAAGTTGATGGAGGTAAGGTGAATATATATAGATTTATTTAATTTTATAATATTATCATTAATATTAAAATGTGGAATTATCACCTGATTTTTGTATAAACAAACCCAAAACTTGATTTTTGAAGTTGAAACTCAAAAAACCTAGTTGAATGTGATTTTTACAATTATAATTTATTTTTCTTTCTCTTCTTATCAATTACACATTCTCCAATAAGTAATATTACATTCGAACCAAAATTTTTTCCTCATTTTAACTACAAATTCTCCAAAAAATTATTATTTTAAATTATATTTTTTCCAAAATCTAATTAAAAT